GCACACAAACTATATATTGGTGCTCTATCTTTGTATAAGGGAAACATAGACGACTTATAGGATAGTATCATAAAGCACGCTACAGTTGAGTTAAGCCTTAGTTCAAACCTAAACTCCATTAATGTCTCGAGAAGGCGGCTACATGTAGGCCTGCATACTTTGTCTTCTCGTGAAACAACAATCTTGTGTGTACTTTGTCTAGAAGAGCAGACATAATATATGAGTTGGGTGAGGTTTGAACTTAACCTTCGAACCCTCTGTTTCAGTCTGAGACTTTTTATTTTCTTCTACAGATGAAACCTTCTCTTTCATGACAAGTCTTCAACATGTTGAAGTCTTCAAATCTCAAACCATTCAGATTCTATTGAAGGCTCTTACTTGTTCCTTCATTTGATTCTCCATTTGCTATAAAGACTTTTGTTTCAAAGCCTCCACACTTTTGAGTTTTAATATATGTAAAGTATAAACAAATGAGTTTTGGTTAGAATTGTCAAAAGGGATACCAAAAAGTTCTTAATTTTCTAAAAGAATATGAACCAAAGATAACCTACCTGATAGAAATACATATTTTGTCAACAACATATAATTCAACTTAAAAGGGTTCAGAATTTCAAATCGGAGGAACAAAGTTTAGATAAGTACTACCATAAGGGTAACAACGAGCATTGCGTGCTAATTTATCCGCCTTCGGGTTATTACTTCGTGGGATGAACAATAAGGCAAAAGGACGGGAAGACCTCCTTACATCTAGCAAACTTTTCAAGGAGAATTTCGAAAGCTGACCAACCCTTTGGAGTCGATACCATTTATGCTATTATGGAAGAATTTAGCTTACCACTATATAGGAGTTCTAGTGAAATTAAGAATTCATGCTTTTAGATCTTTCGTAATTCGATATGAATTAATTGTCCAAGATATAAAAAGCTGTCTGTGAAATTACATGATTTTGCATCCGTGAAATGTTATTATTCCCTTAATGACGACCAAAGAAGACCAAATGATTTTGCATTCCTTTAAAGCAAAGATGTTTCAAGATTAAAGTCTATCGAGATTTTCAAAATTATCTCTTGTCCCGCCCCAAACTATTGGTTATCGCATTATTTTATCTATAAGACTATGTTGACTTGTCTTATCCGTCTTCGTGTTCAACGTGATATCTAGAGAGTTTGTGTTCCATGTTACACAATTGTCGTACAAAAGAGTTTTTCAAATAATTTAGAAAGTGAGATGTGTGTCTTACGGATTTAACTACTACTAACCGTTATTACGAAAAAAAAACCCTCGTTTTTTTCGCCGCCCCCTTTTGGCGATTTTTTAGGCGATTGTTCTCAAACTTTTCTCTTTGTCGATCTGTGATTTGATTGGTGCCGGTGGCTCAGTTAGCATCGGTACCGGTCTTTTGTGATCGTCTTAGCTTGTTTAGTGTCGGTTTGGGTTGTGCAGCCTTGAAGAGTGACTTTTCTTCCGATGGTTTGAGGTTTGGTTCGGTGGTGAGGCCTTGGTGGTGGTTAGGGTGTGGGTCGGGATTGTGGCGGTGGTTCGTGATGAAGGTTAATGTTCATCTATAGATTGGTGGTGAGATTGACTTTTATTTGCGAAAGCCGCTCTTGTGCTCCGATCGATTTCCTTCTAGATATGGCTCTGTTTGCCGTTTCAGTGGATCTCCTCCATCGTTGGTCGTCTCTCTTCTATGAGGTCTGTTTTTTTGTTTGTTGGATCAATGGGTTTTGACTTCTCGTGGTTTGGTTCCGACTTTGTCCATAGGTGTTGATCTTATCCGTTAATTTGTTTTGTCTAGCCGTAGTGTTTCTTCTGCCTTCTCGTTTGAGATGGCTTGTGTAGTCTATTAAGGTAGTGTAGTGCAGAGGTTTTGTCAGAGTCGGCCGTGTCTGTATGCGTTTCGGCTTGGTTCGTGTTTCAGTTTGTCAAGCTTCTGTAGCTAGCCTTCTGGTTGGCTTTATGGTTCGTTGTTTGCTGTTTCCGAGCTGGTTTTGCCTCTGTTATTTCAGTTTCTTGCCGAACCTAGCTAGTTTGCTTCCTGTTGGCTGGAGTCCTATTTGGTAGTTTGGCTCTCTTATCGGTTACATTGGTGTGTTTGGTTTGGACTGCTGTGCTCATTGGTTGACTTTCTTTGTTGAAGATAATGTTATCGAGACTCATATCCCTCGTCCAGCAGATTTGCTTCCTTTTCACTCGTTTTTTCAGAATAATTCTTCAATCGGCGATGTACATCAACAGCTGGCCAGCTCCATTAATTTAGAGTGGCTTTGTTGAATATCATTTGGAGACTCCTCGAGTGGATGGTTTGCCCTTTTCTTGTTTGGTGACATTTTTCTTCATGGTTTGCACCGGCTCATCTGATTTGTGCGTAGTTGTTGCCTCTGTCATGGATATGGTGGATGCCTTGCTTCGGTCCTTGCATTCGTTCTGTGTGGTTCTGGTTTGGTGAGCTTGTGGTCGCATATGTGTTTTTCCTGTGTTGATAGGTTGTCTTTCTTTGCTGTGGTTCTTTTGTATTAGTTTTGCCTACGGGTTAAGGTTTGGACCTTGTCTCTTTTTTTTGGGTTATTGGTTCTAGACTTTTGATTCCGTTTCGGTTTAGCTACGGTTGGGTACGTTCTGTTCCGACCTTGTTCTTATGTGTAATATCCCATCATTAATAATATTTTCATTCTAGATGCCAAAAAAAAAACCGTTATTACAATCCTAATATAAAGTGAAGTGAAGTTTGTGAAATCCGTGAAACTGAAGACGTTCACATACGAAGAGAACTATTTAGATCTAAAATATTGTCTTTGTACATACATCTTTGATCATTTAGAAAGTGCTAATAATCGATGTTGGGTCACAAAATTATAGCAATAGTTTAGTTAGAGATCCGTCAAAGATATTAGCCATCTTTGTAATGATACTACAAAAAGCATGTAGAAATCAATTTATTAGTAACTAACACATAGTATCACTCATATATCTACTATATACAAGTTACACATTTGGAGACGATACAAATGACATTACAGATTACATATACTCAAAGAGAGGATAGAGGCAAAAGAAACTTGTCGCTCTATTTTTTGAGACTTTTCTTTTAAATAACTACAAAAAACTACTCAAAAAACAAAATTACTTTAAAACCCGCTAAAAACGAAATAATTACGATTTGACCCCATAACTTTCCCAAATTTCTCTCAACCGATCTTCGAAATCAAATTCGCACGAAGCTGTTCTTGAGTGTAGATCCTAAATCCCATCTTCACCGTCGCTTGTTGAATCATCAGATCGTTAACCACCGACATACTCGCGTGATTCACTTCAAGCTCAAGCTCCATTAACGCCGACATCAATCTCGCGGCCGGATGATTCCTCTTACTCGATTCTACTCTGATCATCGCATCCCAACCGATAATCTTCACTTCGATCTCCATCCCCACCGCTTTAATCGCCGTCGCCGATGATAACAGATCACCGGCGTTTGCGCTTGCTTTTCTTCCGGCGAGCTCTGATTTCACTTCTTCGAGCTGGTTTCTGATTTGGGTTTTCTCAGATTCGGTTTTTTGTACTTTTGATTTTAGCTCGTTGATGTAAGAAATCGCGTCTCCGAGTAATGAAGCTTTGTCCATTTTCGAAACGTTTGGTACAACCGCTCGTAACGCGTAGAAACGCTGGTTTAGTTTCTCGCGTCTTTGTCTCTCTGCTTCTACGTGGTTTAATGGTTCGTCTCTACCGTTTGCTGGTTTTCTTCCTCGTTTCTTCGGACGTTTCTCCGGTATTTCTTTCACGATGGAAGCTTCTAGATCGGAATGATCGGATTCTACTCCTCCGGCGCTGGTGATTTTGTCACCTCCGCCGCCGCCGAATGATAGAACTTTATCGTCGGTTAAACCGGTGGTTTTCTTTCTCTTGTTATCGAATTGAGTCTGACCCGAATAAGAACTCGGATCCGGGTTACCGGAGCTCCGTTTACCTTCGTCGGCGAAGTTTAGTATCTCGCCGGATCTGGGTTTCACCAAAGTCGTACTCGACGTCGAGAAATTAAGCTCTCGAGAGAAATTGTTGTTGAATTTCGGGTTCTGGGTTTGTGAATGAACCGGACTCGGGTTCGGATCCGGATTCGGGTTTTCGGTTATCGTGCTTGAGCTACCGTTCTCGAACTGTATAGACTTGGTGAAAAGCTGTGAGCTAGTTGAACCGGGAGCTTCGTTACCCGGTTCGTTTGTTGTTGAACCGGGTGCTCCAATCGGGTCATTAATCCACATAGACGGGTCGTTCTCACCTTGATCCGGGTCATCAAGATTCCAATTCAAACCGGATAAATCACCAGCACCACCGTCGAAATTGAAAAGGATCCGAACTTTATTCAAAAGATCCGAACTTTGTCGGATCTGCTCCGTTGACCCGAGTTCAACAACTCCGTTAACCGTCGGTATACAAGCGATTGTCTTCATCCCAAAAACACCACCTTGCTTCGCCCGTTCACAACCCGAACCGGATAACTGATCAAACCCAGAACACCAAACCGGGTTAGCCGTCGAAAACGCTTTACCGGCTAAACCCAAACCGGGACCAAAACTCTGAGTCATCGAAACCAAGAAAAACCACTCCGTATCCGTAACCTCCTCGTCGACGGAGTCATCCGCCGGACCATTTCCGCCGGCGATCAAAGAATTGAGCTCTCTCAAGACTTTTTTCCGGTACTCTTGATCCACCGGAGTTGTAAACGGCGGCGAACTCGATGTCCGGCTCGGGTTTGTTTTATCTTCGTCTCCTTTGTAATAACCATCTGCCCAACCGAGCACGGAGGCGCCGGAGAAATCATACGACGGTTGCCAGAATATAGCGTAGGTCCAACCTTCGTGTGTACCTTCGATCAAAGCTTGTAAACGTTGCTGAAGAGTCTCCTGGCTAAATCCAGCCGGTGCCGGAATCTCCATCGCCGGAGCTGATGTCGCCGTCGTCGCCGTCGGTGGCCATAGAGATGAGACGTCGGAGGAGCTCATGAAAGCTTCCATCATTGAAGCGTTATCGTCGGTGGTCCAGAGATTCATCGTTGATGGTAACCGGTAATCAGTCATTCCATAAACCAGTTAACCGGTTAAAAAAAATTAAACTTTCTAGAGAGAGAGAAAGTTGTCGTCGTCCTCGTCGTAGTAATGGAGAAAAATGGAGTGCGTCTGTGATTGTTTTATATCTGGAGCTGATCATGAGGGTAAATAAGTAATTTTAATGTTGAGGATATTACGTGGCGTGTTACGATTGTGACACGTGGAGAGGCAAGAAGCTTCGGTGAACTCACATCCCGATTTAACCCCATAGACTGTTGGATCTACTCGGTTTTAAGACCAAAGTGAAGTGAGATCGTACGGTTTTTATGCATCTTACGCGCTTTTTATTTTAACGGCTCAGATTTAATATCGATTTTTTAAAAAAAGTCTAAATTTATAAGAGTTAACTGTGAGGGTAGCTCAGTCTAAAAACAACACTTTACTAAAATTTTCACTCGTTTTCAATTTAACAAATATATTTTAAAATAACAAAAAGATTTATATAAGAGAAGTTAAATTATGAAGAGTTAAGTAAAAAGGATTAAGAGTTCCAGATTGTTATTTTTTTTTTTTTGAAAATAAGATTGTTATTTTTGAAATCCGTATTTTCCATGTAAAATATTTATTTACATAAATATGAAATTGTTTTTACATTTTAACCAGGTGTTAATATACAGTGTGGCTGTTTGATAGTAATTGAGATTCAGCCGAAGAAAAAAAACAGAAATTAAGTTGTGTTGGTCTTAATTTGTATTTTTTGCTAAAATTAATTTGTAATTTACAATATATAATCAATAATGCATGAGAATCTCAATCTCTCCATAAATGATTCTTGAGAAATTTCAAAAAATACCACACTTTTGAAATCTTTACAAAAATACCAATTTTTTAAAATTATTTTTTTTATATTATTTATGTTTGGATTAATTATATTAAGGTTTAGTTTTGAGTGTTTATGGGATTTTAGGTGTCAAAACAGTT